CCTCTTCGTCGTTCTCTCCTCCGTATTCGGTACCTCTGTTGGGCCTGTTGTCGGCGGCCCCATTCAAGCCTTCCTACCGTGGTACTGGAACTTCTGGGTCCAACTCATCTTTGGCGTGACTGTCCAGGCTGTTCACTTCTTCATGCCTGAGAGTCGCTCCACTATTCTCATGGACAGGGAAGCCAAGCGCCAGCGCGAGGCCGGCATCGACACAAACGTCTATGGCCCCAACGAGGTCAAGAAGCCCCGACTCTCCGCTCACGAGTTCGCAATCACTTGGGTTCGACCTTTCGAGATGTTCGTGCGAGAACCTATTGTCCTTTCTTGTTCTCTTCTCTCTGGGTTCTCCGACGCTCTCATCTTCACTTTCCAAGAGGGCTTCAACCCAGTTTTTGAGAAGTGGGGCTTCGGCGTCCTCGAGACGGCTTGGGCTTTCATTCCGATCAACATCGGTTACCTGATTGCATACATTTCTTACGTCCCCTGGATCATCAGAGACCAAAGAATCGTCAAAGCCAAGGGCTCTGACGCCTTGCCACCTGAACGTCGACTGAGATGGCTCCTCTATCTTGCGCCATTAGAGACCATCGGCTTGTTCGGCTTCGCATGGACGTCTATGGGACCCCCTGAGTCGCACTGGATCGCTCCAATGATCTTCTCTTGCATGATCGCCATCGCCAACTTTGCCATTTACATGAGTACTGTGGACTACATGATTGCTGGTAAGTTCGTGACCCCAAATACTGTGACATGATTCCTAACCACCATCACAGCTTACGGCCCATACAGCGCTTCCGCAACAGGAGGCAACGGATTCGCAAGAGATTTCCTCGCCGGCATTGCGGCCATGTACTCAACACCACTGTACGAGAACATTGGAAAGACGCGTCATACGGAGTACGCGAGCACGATCCTTGCATGCCTCGCCTTCTTCGTCACAATCCCGGTTTACCTCATTTACTGGAAGGGACCCGTCATTCGAGAGAGATCCAAGTTCGCTCAGTCACTTGATGCCGACAGACGCGCTAAGGGCGGTCGTCGAGTCGTCGATGTTCCCGAGGAGCAGCTAGAGCCCAAGAACCTGTAAACAGGCATGTGGTGGACAGTGTGCCTGCTCAATTTGGAGGTCAACACATGACAAAAGAGTACAGCTCAGGTGCTTGTGCATTGTCTGTTGAGGCAGCTGCTTTTTCTGAGCTGATTGGGACTTGGGTTCAAGGAGGGCACTGTGTTCATGATGTTATTTGTAATGATACCAAAGTACGATCAATTGTAAAAAGTAATGAGTGATACGATACGTTGATTCCCTCAGCACTTGTCTCCGTCGAAATGTTCCTAACGCGATGTAAACCCGGTGATTGACCCCACTCGGAGGTCATGTCCGCACATTGAGTTGCGGGTCAAACCGCTCAGGAGATGCAAATCGAACGTTGCCCATTTTCAGCCAAATTTGAGGGGAATCATTGTTATTTCGAAGATTCATGGAAGGATCACAGAACACTAGCGCGGGGCTGAGAAGCTTACTTCTAGGCTTAGGTGCCATCCGTTGAGGCACGCGAGTTGTGCGGCACAGCGCTGCGGTCCAGCACACGTAATGCCAGCCCACACATTTCTTAACCCTGGGCCACATTCTGACAAACGCCAGCTTGATTGGTTGAAAATGTCCATTTTTGTTTCATACGAAGGATCTGGGGAAATGGGGCACTTAGATTCAGCTAAGCATGCAGGCCGAACTTTCCGGCTCTACGGGCTCCAATTCACCTCCGTTGCTCCGTACCCGACGCTTTCTGTATCTCGAAATGCAAAGAACTTGAACATGCGACCGCGAGTATCGCCTTAGAATGTTCATTTCTCAGGCAAAATGAAGAGATAATGATCTTCTAATTCCTTTTGACCCGAGCCACATCGTCAAGGCCGAGCCGCCTCAGTCATCAGAGCAGACGTTAATGAAATTATTGATCGGTGGGCAGTTTGTACCGATTTCCATTCTTCAACTATAACAATCTTGGGGATTATCTGCTAGATCTTTCACGCTGTTCAATCGGACGTAGTCGAATTGCTGCAAGGGTTGGCGGCTGAGTCTCAGAGAACGCGCCTCTAGTCACACACAGGTTGAAAATGGGCTGATAAAGCCTTGCTCTCGAATCGCGCAACATGACGTTAGAATATTGGTCTCAGTAGATCAGCCAAGACGCCAACATCTTGGAATAACGCTCCGGCTGCCGGTCGCCTTCTGCGGCGCCCGACAGACCTCCGTCATCCGGGCGAAATGCGGGCGGCCGAACCAGACAAGGCTTGAGGTGGACGTCAGCATCGTATTACGATTCAGCCACCCGCTGCGGTGTTAGTGCCTTGGCGTTCAACAGAAGGTCCCCAAAACGTTCACCTTCATTGCTCTCGAGCCTTGGAGCATCGGCTGCCGGCTTGAGGCACAAACGTGCAGCTAGCGCGACAACATCCTTCGACTGCCAGGTCGGCCACGGCACAGCCCGCAGCGTGCCAGTTGCGCGGGCAATAATGGGGCATAAACATAAACTTGCCAATTAGGATGTGCTGACGGATGCGACTAGACCCGACGTGGAGAAGGCGAGAGTGGCAGTACTGGCAGGGCGAAATATCTCTGCCTAGCAGGCGGACTAGCATCATGATCCTGCAGGGAAAGGTCGGTGACGACTGACTCTCGAATGCCGTTTGTGGCTAGGAAACTGACTGTACGCCAAGCTGAGCATCCCAAAATGGAGAATGGGTCGTTCAGGGAGGAATCTGTGAATTTGTTGAAATAGGTCTTGCTGCCTCGGGTTTGTTGTTGATGTTAACACAAGTCCATCACGCGGCAACTAAAACCCAATTTTTCTTCATGAATCATTTTCCCTGTCATCAACATAGAAGAGAACCTGCAATCGATATCCAACTGATTCTTCGCGATGGTGTCTTCTCTTCTATTGGCTGGCTCTCTTGTCAGTCTCACCCAGGCAGTCTCTCTGCCTCTGTCTACGAGGGGCACAAACTCAACAAAAGCGTTCAGTTGGGTCGACACGAAACCGACAAAAGACCTGCAATACTACGACTGTGGTAGCGGCTTCCAATGCGCCCGTCTCGAAGTCCCGCTCGACTGGGCAAGCCCAGCCAAGAACAGCACCGCTGCCATCGGTATTGTCAAGCTCCCGGCTGCAGTCCCGGATGACGACCCATCTTTCGCCGGCAGCGTCCTCATCAACCCCGGCGGACCAAGCGGTTCCGGCACCGCTTTCGCCTACTCCTGGGGCCCCGGCTTGCAGAAGGTCATCGGCGAGAACTACGAAATCATTGGCTTCGACCCGCGTGGTGTCAACACGAGCACACCACACGCCGACTGCTTCAAGGGAGACCAGTTCGCCCGGAGGCTTTCTCAGGAGCGCACTTCCAATCTTCCACCCATTGATGACGCCATTGGGTATCATTGGGCGAGTGCTTCTGCTCAGAGTGCTCTCTGCGAAGAAAATGGTGCTGATAGCATCTGGGGTCACATGAACACCGCGTCCGTTGCTCGCGACATGGTGGAGATTATCGATCGCATTGATGACCTGCGTTGGAAGGAGTCAGGCAAGGCTAAGCCTAAGGATGCTGAGGCAGCTCGCCTCAACTACATTGGCATCTCTTATGGAACTTTCCTGGGGAACACATTTGCTTCCATGTTCCCTGAGCGTATTGAGAGAATGTGGATTGACGCTGTGGTTGATGCTGATGATTTCTCTGCTGGCGTAAGTCTATGCTTTCTTTAGTGCATTCATGCGATGCTAACTGTCTTCCCAGACCTTCCGCAACGACATCAACGATGCCGAGAAGATTGTTGACCAATTTTACGAGCTCTGCTTTGAATCTGGGGAAGATTGTCCTCTGATTGAATCATCTGACAAGTCCGGCGCAGACATCAAGGCTCGTGTCGCCGACGTCATTGACGACATGGACACCACGCCGGTGTACTTTTCTTTCAACGATCGGCCGTATATGCTTACATCACCCATTATCCGTCAAGCGATCTTCTCCATGTTGTACGGTCCATTGACCTCATTCGAGACGCTTGCTCTCGGTCTCGGCGCTCTGATGAATGGCAACTACTCCATTCTCACGGCATTCCTTCCCTCGGACTCGATCAAACTCGTGTGCGACGCTTCCGATGACGACGAACTTCCCCAGTACAACTGGGACACGGATGTCCTGGCAGGCGTTCTCTGCTCCGACATTGTTGATGAGGTGGTTGATCGCAACATTTCCTTCTATGAAGAGGTCGTAGCCTACCTGAAGAACCAATCCGAGACAACCGGCACTGGCGTGTCGGGAGCAATCCCAATCGCTTGTGCTGGCCGCAAGCTCCGCCCGTCCTACCCTTTCACCGGACCTTACACCAGCCCTGCAGCAAATGCCAACGACACGAACGCACCCGCCGCGCCGCTTTTGATCACATCCAGCCGCTACGACCCCATTACCCCTCTCAGAAACGCCTTCCATGTGTCAGAGGGGCATCCTGGATCCGCTGTCGTTATTCAAGAGACTTCTGGACATGGAGCAACGTCCAACCCAAGCGAGTGTCTTGTAAAGATTGTTCGGGAGTACTTTTCGGAGGGCAAGCTGCCAGAGAGCGGTACCGTCTGCGAGTCCACATGCCACCCGACAATTCCTGCTGATAAGGAAAACTGCACCTCCATTCTCAACTCCAGAGACGTGGAGTACATGCTTCCTGCTTTGGGAGAGTTCCATTGGTTCTAGGTGTAGAGCTTTATCGCGCCCGATAATGTCCGCGGGTGTTAGTGTGTCTGTTGAAAGGTTTTGCATAGTATACCTGCGCGCGCTATCTTGTTCCTGCGATTGATGTTCATTGTATATAATAGCTTAATATTACAAACATCTTCTGATACGACCTTAGTGCTTTCCCTTGAATAGAAAGCATTCATTTTGATTGTGGCAACTCGAACGAAGATCTAAGAACAGATGGGACCTTCGAAGTTCCTTATGAAAGTCCCCTAAGCATCCGCAAGAATATCATCCAATGCTTTCTCGCTGATCATGAAAGTAGCCAGTGTTGGCACCTCTCCAGGCTGGACCGGAAAGACGGATCCATCAACGACCCGAAGCCCCTGTATTCCACGCACGCGGAAATTGGAGTCTAACACAGCCATCCGGTCATCATCTGCCCCGATTGCGCAGGATCCAGTAACATGATGAGAGTAGGTCTGAGCTCGAAGGAAAGCCTTTTGCTCCTCGTTCATGCAGCTCGTAGCACCTTGACGACAAGGTCGGTGCTCAGTGAACGTGTTGTCAGTGAGGTTGGTAAGAACGGACCTCGCAAGGTTGATCGCCTCCACCATAGAGTCAAGGTCGGCGTCATCGCCTTGAGAAAAGAACCCAAGATGTATGTTGGGAGCCTCACGGGGATCGGTGGATCTTAGTTTGACGGTGCCGTTGATGTTTCGCGGGTGGATCTGCATGAAGCCACACTCAAACTCGTTCTCCGCCCAACCCGGCATACCGGGGAAGAAACCAATGAAGTTGAAGCTCCCGCAGTAGAAGTGTATATCCCGCGTGCGCTCGGCGACCGAGGTTCGCATGAACATGTCCCAGAACCCAACTACTGGCTTTTCGAACGTGCCGTAGATGACTCCCTCGAGGTTGTCGTGTATGTTAATGCCGACACCAGGAATGTCTTTGACGAGAGGGATGTCAAACTTTGACAGCTCGTCCGCTGGGCCGACACCGCTAAGTTTGAGAAGTTGCGGGGTATTGAAGACACCGCCAGCAATGATGACCTCCTTCGACGCAAAGGCCTTGCCAGGGACCCCGATCTGGGAAGGATCATGACGAGGATCTGTTGAGTAGAGGCTTTGACCTTGAAGGTACTCTACTCCAACCGCACGTGGCGCGGTGTTTCCATCTGCGGGCTGGTCGAATATGATCTTCGTCGCAAGGGTGTTTAGTTGGAGTGTCAACGGGAACTTTCTCTCGTCATCCACGGTCGCCCGAATGTAATTACTTGGACTGGACCGCACACCATTCCGAGAGTGGGTGTGAGGTGTAAACACCCCGAGGAGGTTATCACGTTCCCCGTCGTCCGAATTGATATCCCTCCGCAGTAGCTCCGCAAGCTCGGTGGAGTTGATATCTGGCGGATACCCGAGAGCTGTGGACGCATGCGTAGCCAGTGTAGACACATCCGACTCATTGAGAGCCCAGGAGTAGTCACTTTGAGAGGTATCGAGATATCCCGTGAAGCCGTGAGATGCAGTACTTCCGTTGACAAGATAGTTGCATCGCTCTAGTCTGACAAGATACTTGCGCATGTTTGCTGGCGACCATGTCTCATCTCCAGTCAGATCTGCGATGTCCTGCCAGTCCACATCCGCAGGCAAAGAGATTGTAGCCGCGTTATGCATAGCGCAGCCGCCAAGTACACCAGCTCGAGGATAGTAGACGCCAAGTCGCGTAGAGCCAGAAGGTGGATCCAACCCAACGTAGAAGTCGCCGTCGGTTGTGTTCCAGGTTGTGAAGTCGTAGAGCTTGTCAATCTCTGGCGTGTCTCGCGTGACGAAGAAGTCCCATCGCGTGAGTGGATCATTGATAGCCGGTGTATTGTTGTAGACCATGTATGAGTTGACATTATCAGCTTGGTCGTCGCCAGCTTCAATGAGCAAGACTGTGTGGCCATCCCGGGCAAGATTGGCAGCGAGCGGACCGCCACCTGGACCGGATCCTACTACAATGTACTCATATGTCTCAGGAACATCTGAAAGTGCTGAAAGGGCTCCGTTGAAGTACACAAGGAGGATCATCAACAGACAAGAAAATGTCATTTTGAAATGTCGATGTGGCGAGCTTGAACTTCGATCTGGGTCGGATGCTTACTGCTGTCGGCCACGTTGACGGGAAGCAAAGCATTTTCTTTTTCTTTTAACAAGCTCAAAAGTCTCCCCTTTATGTCCAGAATTGTTCCATAAGCTGACCGAACTTTCCGTGCTTTTGCTCGCCAAGTCATGTTTTCCCTAGACGGTAATTCAACCGGCTTTGAGTTTACTCAAGCATACCATACCTTGCGTCGTCAGCACTGCGGGATGGAGGCGATGTGCTCTCGGTAGTTTTGAGCAACTACAAGTCTATACCAAATAGGCGAATATTGTTTACTATCTGTCGGCTCTTGTAATTTTTGCATTCCGCTAACTCCGTAATTCGCTGGCTCTCATGTGAGGGGGTCGGGATTATCCTGACTCAAAGTCTAAACCCGATCCCTGCGCACATCACTACAGTTGCACTGACTAGGTCTGGGTTTGTTTGCCAAGAATTGGCAACACTGGCAGGCTGGTTGAATGGCCACATGCTTCGTTTTCGCCATGGCTTTGAGGCGGCTTCATACGCCACAACGAGGGTACAAACTCGTTCTCGCCATTACAGGCTGTTTATGACAATAGCCATATATAATTTGTTTGGGAGCTTGGGGCGCTTGCCTATCACTTCGGGTCACGCCGAGAGGTTGTAAGAATAAAGGAAGACTTGTAAGGCTATCTAGGAACCTTCCTACTGGCGGCTTTCTATCTCAAGAAACTGCTGCAATGTATCTTTCACAGTTGCCTGCAGCGGACGGTACTCAACACCCAGAACCTCCACGATTTTGTTCCCGTCAACCTGATACAAGCTTTCCAAAGCCACCGTCTTACCGCTTCCCGGTATACCAACCGGAACTCGATTCCTGACCTCTGGCAAAGCTTCCCTGGCTACATCAGCTGCAGATTGCCAATCGAAGTGATGCCCCAGCAAGAATCTTTGGCCGCCAGCCTCAGGTGTATCCAAAGCTGCAACAAGCATAGCAGCTGTATCTCGCACATCCACGACTCCGGCCCACTGAAGTTCCGGGATTTCCTTGGCGTCTACAATTTGCCAAAGAAGCTTAGAAGTTGACGTAATCTCGTCCAAGTTGCCAATGTCCTCTAGGTGAGGGCCCAAGACCAGGGCAGGGTTCAAGCAGCTGAGATCGAATTTGGTCTGGTTGTCATTCATCCATGCCCAAACTGCCTTTTCTGAAAGCGCCTTCGATGCCAAGTAAAGAGACCCACGATCTTTGAGTGACGCCGCCTCTTCGAATGTCGCTGGGTTCCAGTCAGACTCGTCATAGACGTATCCGATGCGGGGATCCTTGGAGTTGTCAAGCATGGCCGCTAGGGACGAGACATGAACCACACGCTTCAAAACAGAGCCGCCGTACAGCTTGCTGGCTTCCAGGATTCCTGTAGCACCCTTGATAGCGGGATCCAACATGTCGCGAACATTGTCTTCGACATGGCCGTGAACAGGACTGGCAACGTGAATGACGCCTATTGTTGTTTGATCGAAGGCGTCGTGAAAGAGCTCGGGCTTGGTGAGGTCTCCGATGAGGATGGTGGTCAACTTTGAGCCATAGTCGTTGGGAAAGGTCCCGCGGACTTTGTTGGCAGCTTTCTGGGACCGGACTGTTCCTCGGACATTGTATCCCCGCTTCAAAGCCTGGTCAACGACGTGGAGCCCTAGATAGCCGTTTGCGCCGGTAATCAGGATGGTGCCCGGGTTGTCAGACATGCTAAGTATCGGGAGAAGGTAAATGGGAAAAGGCGGAGTGTTAGGAATGTGTGAAGATCTTAGATTTCAACCATGAAATGGCAGTAATGTGACTTTTGGTATGGAACTTTGGGTCTATGCAGTATTTATGCAGCCCAGTCACTAGATCGCTGGAAGTTCAAAGGTCACAACTGTCAACCGTACGATTTGCTTGGCAGGATCTGCGATGGGCAAAAGATAGATCTTAAATCCGGCTGAAGTCCGTAAGTTGTTTTATTTCCGTGAACTTGTTATTTAGTACTCCCAGAATCTTGGCACTTCGTTGCGAGTGGGAAGAGGTGGATATCAAGGACAAGGTGAGCACGTCAGGACCCATAGGCCATCGAGCGCCTCCCCAGCAAACGGGACCGAAGAGGCTCCATTCAAGTTAGCGGTCAAAGGTGAAAACTACGCAAATGTTTGCTCGGCCTCGGCGGCAACGGAAATGCCGGCCGGTACATCACGGAGTAGTCCGCAATTCCGAAGGCTCCGGACCAATCCTGGGGCTCCACGCTTCCCCGCTGCCATCTTCGCATGCGAGCACATATGATTGCTTCTGCATTTAGAATCCATTTTGTTCCTGACACTCGACGGAATGCTTTCTCGTAGAGACAGCCTAATTCTCCTGAGTCTGGGCGGCAATACTTCCTGTGAACTTCGTGATTACAATGAGGATGATAGTAGGAGGGAAAGTGATGAGGGCGGCGACATAATAACGGTAACGATGGAGATGACGACGGTGCTAGTGAACATAATTGAAAACGTCGTGGTTTAAGCACAGGAAAAGCAGGGATATATTCTTCTAATGACCAGAATATGTGTTGATGTGGCTAAAGTTCCTCACTCGGGGCATCATAGAGCCTCGATCGCCAGCGACAACCGAAAGCAGGCTCCACGTTGAAGTCCAACCAATTCTCGCGCTCGAAAGCAGACATTGCCATCCCAATCGCAGCGGTGAAGACTGGTGCGAAGGACTGGGCGTTGTCAACCACGTCTACACCAACAACAGCCTTCAACGTATCAAGAAACTCTCCATCCATTACTGCATCGCCATAAAGAACAACTCGTTGAATCTTGTCTGGCATCGGGTGTCCGTAAAGATCATATCCCAATGGTAGCTTAGTAACCTCTGCAAGTAAGGCTTTGACGGCTTGGAGATGGCCGGGCTGTTCCCGACGATCCGCGCCGAGCTGCTGGTCGTAGACTTGACGTAAAACGTCCGCAACTCCTTCGTCGTCGGCGAACAGATTAACGTTCAGCCCAGAGTCGCTGTAATCTACTGATAGAACGGCTTGCGTTTCGTAACGCGGTGTGCTTGGGTTATTGATGCGGTTGGCCCACATCACCAACTTCGCAGCGCTCAAGACCCGATGGGTTAGACGAAGGCCAGCCGATTTGATTGCTTTGTTGATGATGTAGTCTTGATACTGCCAAGTCTGGTCAGGGACGACTACGCCGGCATAACAAAATGTTGTGCCTAGGTAAGACGCGACCGATGACTGTAGACTCCGCAAAAGACCCTGGCAACTGTCGAAGTCTGGATCCCTCTCGCAGATAGCAAGACCGAAAGGCTGCAGTGGAGGGCACACAGCGTTGCGCAGCAAGGACATGCCAGGTAAGTCTTCAACGATGGACGTTGCGTTGTCGCCTTTGCGCATGAAAGACTTGTACGCCGGGCTTCCCTCGATCCGAGCTACTTCTACGTGGGACCCGTTCTGGAAGAAGATGGCTGCGGTTCTATAAAATGAGTCAATTAAATCGGGTTCGTAGGAGGGCGTTTTGGGGTCTCGTACCCATAATCTGGCGTGAGGCTAAAACCAACGCCAGGGACCGGTGGATGCGACAATGATGATGCTGCCGCGGCGGCTGTGGCTATGAGAAGCCAAAAAAGGCAAAGACGGGACACATGTGTCTGGACGGACATGATGTCGTCGGGTTGTCCGAAATGGTGATGATGTCGAAATTTGGCTAAGAGTGGAAGAGATGTTTATTGTTGTTTGCCGCGTTTGTTTCGTCACCGTTGGGCTTTTGATCCTGTCTGTAAACGGAGCGCAGCGACACCTGTGGGTCACGTGAGTACAAATGCGCACCGCGGATCTTGACTTGGCGTTGGTGCTTAAATATGTGTTGCAGCGCGTTCGCGTGGCTGTGTAGATGAACTGATTGGTGCGCGAGTTGCTATTCGTGATGGGGTTCCAACACTATTCGTATGCTTTTTCTCCTGGTCGCAGAGGGGCTGTGTGCATCAGCCAGCCCCATGGTGGTATTCAGTATTGCAGCCTAGCTTTCGCCCTCTTTTTGTCATGGGCTAGCCATACAGGTGTCTCCGTGATCTATCCTGGCCCCCATCGCAAATGTCTCCATCAGTGTCATCCTTCAGTGGACAAGGTGTGCTCGCAGGCGGCAGACTGCTCAAAAAAGAGGAGAGGCCCGAATTAAGCGCTGCCGAGCTACTGGAAATGTCCACTCCAGGTTCCACCAATTCCAAGATGTATCTTATCTTGAGGCATGCTGCTCGGAGCTGAGCCTGGGGGCCAGGCTTTTTCGCACTCTTTGCCTCTACCACGCAGGACACCATACTTTCCTGGGGAGAATATGCCCCCATTCTGGCCTTGGCCGTTCATCTTGATGGTGTTGGAACGCTTAGATTCAAGGGGCTGTGAGATTCGCAAATAGATGCAAGTCCACTTTCAGGCTCAAAGCTCTCAGCTCAGTTGCTCAGCTAGAAATTAATACACGCAGGGCAACTCTTCTTCTTTTGCCCAGACTTCGTGGATGGACAAGGTATATATATCCTAATTGAATAATCATCATTGGGAAAGCTAGACACTCATCCTCAACCTCTTCTCTAATCTTCTGAGTATTCATTCCAACACTCGTAAGACTACAACAAAGACACCAGAAACGACTTCAAACGACAGAGACGACAGAGACGACAGAGACGATAGAGACGACAGAGACGACAGAGACGACAGAGACGACAGAGACGACAGAGACGACAGAGACGACAGAGACGACAGAGACGACAGAGACGACAGACGTCTCCAGCGGCACTTCCCCTATTATATACAGGTTCACCATGAAGATCACATCTCTTGGTCTCTTGGCTTGTTTGGTGGGATTATCTCTTGCGGTCCCTCACATGCCCAGAGATGTTGATCCCGAAAACCCCTCCGCTTCTGACCCAAAGACGCCCCCTTCTTCCCTCAAAGATCCTCCACGGCCTCAATCCGTCGGTCAGAATCCGTTTGCTGGGAAGTCTGTTACAGTCCCCGGCTCTTGCGGTAATCTCTGGAATCCATCCGAGACATGCCTTCGCGACCTCGAGGCTCAGAACGAGAACGTCGGGACATACGCTGGTGATCTCAAGTTCGAGGATAACAGCTGCGACGACGGACAGAAGCTCGCACTCGAAATTGCCGCCTGGGATGCCTTGACACTTGCCAACTTTGGCGGAAAGAATCCACAGTCGGCAAAAGAGATTGCGACGTGGAGGGCTTATATCGGTCCTGACTTTTCCTCTCAGCAGGGCCGTATTGTGGGTATGGAGGTTTCCACACCTAAAAACGCTGTGACAGTGCTGCTTACACCATAACCTACAGATAACCTGCGCCGGATTCAGGACCACAGGCCCAAGAAGAAGTTTGACATTATTGCCAGTTGCAAGGACACTAAGGGATGGTGCAAGGCAATCACAGGCGGATCGGTTGGCGGCTACGCTTGGACGGAGAAAGGCTGGTTTGGCTACACCTTTCAGCATATTACTCTGTGTCCGATCTACTTTGGTCTCGACTCTCTGGAAGGGAAGTTCGAGATGATTGAGGAAGCTCTGGCGAGAGGCGACACGACGTACGCCGAGATTGCAGACTGGCAGAAGAACAAAGGCCAGTATTTCTTGCACGAAATGATGCACCTGGATGCCGTTGGCCAGCCTCACAGTAAGAAACCCCTCAAAATATCAGTTTGCCTTGACTTCTCAGAATCGCTGACAAAGGACGCTTAGTCTCGGACCAGTATCTCAGCAGCAGTGAAAACATCGGACCCAAAGCATACGGCCCCGCCGGCGTCTACACGCTAGCACAGAAAGACCTCAAAAGAGGCGGCGGAGCCACGCGGGCGAGCCTCAACGCCGACAGCTACGCATGGCTAGCCAACAGCCTGTACTTCTACGACGCGACGGGCTACTTCCCCAGGCCGTCGGAGGGCACGAAGGGTGCCGAGGCTGATAACATCTACTTCGTGGACCTCGGGGAATTCGAAGGTGAGGCGAAGGACGCCGAGATCGAGAAGCGCTTCAAGGCCGAGGTGGATAGCTTCTCAAGTCCTCCACCAACCCCTACCGACTCGTGCAAGAGCGATAGTGACTGCTCTTCACCGCTGTGCGCCGGCGGCGGTGCTGTCTACTCCTGCGTCGAGGGTTCCTGCCAGTGCGGATCCCCCAAGCCGCCGCCATTGTCGTCGCCGTCGCCATCGCCGCCCATCAACACTCCCCCGCCAGGCACAAAGTGCTTTGAGGATGTATCGGAGTCTGACTGTACGAGCAAGTATGAGTGCCCTGATGAGAAGAAAGTTGGATGTGTGAAGAACGGCCTTGCTGAAATAACTTGGTGTACATGTTTCTAAAGTAGCAAATGCGACGGGGTAGATTAGTATGGCTAGCAAAATCGTCATTATCGTCGTCATTATTATTATCTTTATCAACCGTCGTCATCGTTTACGTCTTCGTTATTGTCGTCCATCGTCGTCGTCCATCTTCGTCGTCCATCTTCGTCGTCCATCGTCGTCTTTCTTTAGTGGTATCTGTCGATATTGTTACTCCTATTGTTTTTATTCCTTCTGCTATAGTAATGAGCTGGGGTAACGTAGTAAGCAGGAAATGTAGTCGTACAGATACTCTGTTCCAGCGTCATGCACTTGTTTACTAAGGGTTTAGAGATCACTACACTGAGAAGATATACGTGAGACATAACAAATGTCTTTTTTGAGCTGAAAGATTTATTGGACTAGGGACTATGCTGCTATTAGAAATGATCGAGTGTAGAAGCCAACAGCAGTCACTCCTCTAGTACCCTTGCAAGCCTCCGCTCGCATCCTTTCGTTGGAGGAATAGTCTCTGAAGCCTACAAGCACCCCAAGCTCATTCATGAGTTTGCGATATTCAAACTGTTTTCTCGGAGCGGATGGCATAGACTCCATTATCGCGACGAATAGCGTAAGCATCTTCGCCACGGCGGATAGCGTAGGCGTCAGCATCCTCGTCGCGGCGGATAGCGTACGCATCCTCATCACGACGAATGGCGTAAGCGTCGGCATCCTCATCGCGGCGGATAGCGTACGCATCCTCATCACGACGAATGGCGTAGGCGTCGGCATCCTCATCGCGGCGGATAGCGTACGCATCCTCATCACGACGAATGGCGTAGGCGTCAGCATCCTCATCACGACGAATGGCGTAGGCCTCTTCATCGCGGCGGATGGCGTAGGTGTCGGCATCCTCGTCACGGCGGATGGCGTAGGCTTCCTCATCGCGACGACGAATGGCATACGCATCCTCGTCACGGCGAATGGCGTAGGCGTCAGCACCCTCATCGCGACGAATTGCGTAGGCGTCTTCGTCGCGGCGGATAGCATAAGCTCCGTCATCTCGGCTCACATGTTGCTTGGGTGTACTGCGAATGGCGTAGTCCCTGGCCTCAGTCACTGGGGCAGCAGTGACGGCAGCGGCCAGCATGAGAAAGGTGAGGGCGTACTTCATCCTGAATGTCGTGATGCTTTGATGTGAAGCTTGGATGGAAGAGTTGGCAAAGTCCAGATTGGCAGTTGAAATGATGGGTAAATTGATCTTGTGTGCCTTGTTTGAAGTTCTTAACTCTCGAGAAGGTGGTTATCTGTCTCTTTATACTCTCCAAAGAAATCATCTCGAGACTTCCCCGGATAATCACGTTTAGTTAGGTAGAGATGTCGCTCTGCCAATAACCCGTCTAAGTGACAAGCCCCTCTCTTGTTCGTTGGCATTGTCTATTGTCGGGACTCAACCTAGAGCTGGCTGTGGATGTCGCCATTGAGAGAGGTGAAAGCCAGTGTGACTGACTGATGTGGGCTACTACTCGGCTGCCGGTCACAAGAGTTGCGCCTCGCCACTGCAGGTTTCAAACCTGAACACATCACCATTCACGCTCGCCCGAGTATTGAGAGCATTTCTGCAATGTGAGTCTCGGGGACCAATTGCCCGAGTCAATCAAAGCGGCTTGGCCGACACCCTCGACGTCCGTCTGATGATGTGTTTTCCGCAGTCATCGCGCATCTCGTAGTCACCTTCCATAACCTGTTAGACTCCTTGGTCGTCACGTCTACGGAGATGACTCGAATTCACTCTTCCAACTGTTCGTGTGTCTTTCAACCTTACAGAACTGTTGGTGCAAGGTTGCAATGAATGCGTTGAAGCGGGGAAACTCATGCATGTGTGAGAAATTGAGGGGTCGGTAAGCTGACAGCGAGAAGCGCCGAGACAAGCATGAAGCGATTCCCAACGAGGCATTTACTGAACATTCCGGGGGCGGCCAGTTTTGCTGATCCATCTTCTCCAAACGCAGTCCCTTCAGCACACGTATCTTCACGTCCATAAGCCGCGACGTAGCATTGCAGTCTGGGCAATAGAGTCGCCAGGAAAGGAGGGTTCCGGTTGGACACAGAATCATGCTCGTGCATAACACTCCACACAGTATGCGGCACGTAACTATGGAAAGAATCGAATCGGCCTCTCTTGCCCTGCGCAGTTGGCCCAGCGGCCCGTTCCACGCCGTTTGAGGGGTGCATGCATATGGCGCCATCCAGTCAAATATTCTGAAAGACGGAAAGGGATACGAACGCACTACGCGGTTGGATTAAAGTCGTGATAACACCAAGACCTTTAGCGAACGCAGGGTACTTTTAACCCATTTTAGGCCTGAAGTCTCGGCGCTCTCGGACTCTCCAAATTGCGTTATCATGAGGACTCTGATGTTCCCCCTGAAGAAGTGGACAGTGTTTGATCACGCTCGTTGCTCTGATCTGGGTCATTCCATTTTCGCCTTACTCCCTGGGCATTCTGTATTCATTTCTGAGCTGCCATGAAGCCAATGCATATCGACACAGAAGACTGCGAAGCAGCTGTACCATTTCTCGACGAGCAACCGTCTGTTACCGGCCATGTCGAAGGCCACGCCCGTCGTCGATCAGAATTGAAGTTTTCCCAAATTCCCGACAAAGGACACAAGACCAAGAGGCTGTTCTGGCCTACGTATCTCAATGTTCTCCTCTTTGTTGTGTCTGTTCTCATACTCCTCAAAGCCGGCGCCAAAACAGACTGCGCATGCTCATCTACATCTTCGTCAGCAGACGAAGCGATGAGATACACATCCAGTTGGTCTCCTATGTTTGACCATGTGGATCTCTCTCCTCATCTGACTACGGTTGACGGCACCTTGTACACTCACGACAACGCGTCTGTCTATCGCGGCGACCCATCGCCAGACACAGACGCTGCGTGGGATGATCTTGCGGCCGAGGCCTTCGAGGTCATCTTAGTCAACTCCAGCACAATGAGGCGAGCAGGATACAATCCTGATCACTATTTCAAGGCGCCTTCGTCCTGGAAGTCGCTGACCAAGGCTACAACAAATACGGCAACAGGGCAGCAGGACGCAGCAACGCAGGAAGATCTCTTCCCGGTGCAAATCGATATATTCCACCAGATTCACTGTCTCAATGCCGTCCGCAAGCAAATGCACTTTCAGCATTACTATGCAGACAAGTTCCCGGACGGTCACCCGGATGAGATGCATTGGATGCACCTAAAGCACTGCCTTCACATGGTTCTTCAAAGCCTGACATGCAGCGCCGATGTAGATATTGTCCCACATAGATGGGTTGAAAAGGACGAGGTTCCTTTTGCTCAGTTCGGGATTACGAAGAAATGCCGGAACTTTGACGGACTGCGGGAGTGGAATCGTCAAAATGCTATTGAGAATGTGCGTGCCGTGTGGCCCCGGACTAAAGAGTCGATGCCAGACGATGCCTTCGTCTGGCCTGGACATGGAGAGTATGGTGTAGGGAATTGATGTATCTATACGTGATGGCTGGAAATGGACCTCCGCAGTGGAGTTTGGAGGTTATTGTCAGACTGGTTTTGTATTGTTAGTGAAGGTCGTCCCAAGCCAATGATACAATATACGTGGGCGCGGTGGCATCATCCATACTTGGTACCACACAGGCTTGCAACGATTTGAAATACCGGTAATTGGGATGAATTATATTAATACGCGATAATTATCAACTCTCAGCCTTTGTATCGTACGCAAGCGTCGGCCATGTCTGCCACGTCCATAAGCCCTAAATCACTGGCTGTCCCATAAGTCTCTGAATAATGACTTGGTTTCCAGCAGACTCGCAGGATTTCCAATCTCAGCAATGTACCCAGAGTCCATCACAACTACAACATCGAAATCCAGAATAGTGCTCAATTGATGAGCCACAGCAATGACGGTGACTTCTTTGAACTCATCCTGGATGACCTGTTTCATCATGCTTGCGGTATGCTGGTCAACACTAGACGGCAAGTCAGTCATTCGGTCGAAACGCTACATCCTCAGAAGTCGCTATGAAGGATCCGACTCACCTGCTTGTTGCTTCATCCATGAGTACAATCTTACTTGGCTTTAGAACTGCCCGACATAAAGCCAGCAATTGCTTTTGGCCCTGGCTGAGGTTGTCCAAGGTAGCTGCAGCATGAAGCCCGCCAGCGTCCTCAATGACTTGCCACATTTGAACCTTCTCCACCGCTGAGCGTAGAGATTCATCAGAAATAACACCTGTTGGATCAAGATTCCTGGCTACAGTGGCATGGAAGAAAAACGGCTCTTGAGGGATCGTGTTGATTGCAGATCGAACACCTGATGGATGCACCGAACCAACATCGACTCCATCCACCACAATCGATCCTGAAACCAAGTCGGCCATTCTCGTCAAGGCTGCAATCAAGGTGCTTTTACCGCTGCCGCTGCGCCCACAGATAGCAACCTTCTGGCCAGGGGTTACATCGAGGGTGAAGTCCTTCAGTGCGAAACTGACTTTCTCAGTGCCAGACAGCACGTAGCTCACAGTTGCTGCGTTGAAGCTGACGCGGCCTTCCTGCGGCCATTCTGGGGGTGGCGTTTTGTACACAGCTATGTCGTCTCCAGGGTGGTTTTCGGAGGGTGTATCTTTCTCAAAAGCTTTGATACGAGAGATTGCAGTAAGAGACGTCTCGAGGTTCGTGTAGTTGATGACAATCATCTTGAGCTCTTGGCTGAGAGACATGAGTTGGATGAGGGCAACTCCCAGCAGGCCTCCCGATGTAGATGGCATCTTCGGCGCAATCGCAGCTACAAGGATCGCCATGATTGCTATTATAAGTTCCAAAACAAGCTGCAGCCACCTCTGAACCATGTACAAAAGATACACAGGCTTCTGAGAGGCATCCACGAGGTCATGGTTTGCCTCGATGGACTGCGCGGCCCAGCCGAAGGCGCGAATGGTGGCCAAACCCTGTACTGTCTCCAGCAGATTTGTCTGCAGCGGACTTCTTGCCTCAAGATCGAGGAAGCGAAGCTGTCTGGAGGTCCTCAGATAGAAGCTCTGGACGAAGTGCAATGTGACCAGCAGGAAAGGATAGGCGATAGCTACATAAGGTGCCGCAACCGCTATCAAGATCATCTGGACCAGGGCCACGAGACCTGCCGAAAGAGTTTCCAAAAGAGACATTGGCATGTCTCCATCCACAAGAATGATATCTTGGGAGAAGCGATTTGTCGTGATACCCGTGTCAACGGCACCGAAAAAGGATTGAGGCGCCCATATCATCGCCTTGAGTAGGACGTGGTGGAGCGAAGTGCCGGCTTTGACAGCGAGGGTTGTGAGTGAGAAGCCAGAGAACAAGGCGAGGAATGCTAGCGCAAGCACCTGGAAGGCGGCGTAAACACCTAGATAGTAGCCGTTCTGGCCGTTGCTGTCAGATGACCCTGGTACGGCCGAGGACCAGAAGTTAAGCCAGACGGTGCCGATTGTCGAGAAGACAGCCCAGCCACAGGTGAGAGCTACGAAGACCATGACTCGCCAGAAGCCGATGTGGGACGCTAGATATTTGTAGATGGACGCATCTCCAAGTCTTCTCGTCAAGTCATCTGCCGGCTCGGCAGCAGCCAAGTCATCGTCTCCCTTCGCAAGGGACTGGTTGGCCTCGTTTCCGTCTCTGGTGGCTCTGTCGCTAGTTGCTTCGCGAAGCACGTCGCCACTTGTGCTGCTCTTTTCCTGGATCACGAGTGACTTGATGTACGAAGACTGCTCCCGTAGCTGTTCGTATGTTCCCGCCTCAGCCACATGTCCGTCGAGGCCTAGGACTATGATGTGGTCTGCTCGAGGAAGAAGAGAGACGTCATGTGTGCAAAGCACGATGGTGCAGCCACTCTGACGCAGTAAGCCTTGAGGGCCCATTGCGCGTTCGAAGACCTTGACTTTGGTTGTTGCATCAAGGCCAGAAAGGACATCGTCGAAGATAGCCATGCGCTTTCGTGCATAGAGTGCCCGGGCTATCGCCACCCTCTGCTGCTGTCCACCACTCAGACGGGTCCCTTTGCTACCAACATTTGTAGCTCTACCTTGCGGAAGAGCTGCAATGTCGTTCCCCAAGTCCGTAGCATGGATAACCGATTCAAGCAAGGTGCTATCGAAGCTTGAGAACCCCGTAATGTTGTCAAGGAGTGTCCCATACATGATGAACGGTTCTTGGCCACAGAAAGCAATGTCCGTGTTAGCGGTTTCACGGACAGAGTCGAACATCTGGATGTCTCCTCGGAAATGTGGCAGCTCGCTAATGATAGCTCTGGCTAAAGTGGTTTTTCCACTTGCCACAGGTCCGATGATCATGGTCAACTGAGAAGCTGGGATGTCGATGTTGACATCTGTCAGGACCGGCTTCATCTCTGACCATCCAAGCTCGCCAGCACGAATGACCACGGCGCTTCTAGGCCGGGTGAGAGACGATTCTTCAGATTGGACTTCGGAATTGCTTGGCGAGAAGTTGGTTTTCCTTGGCTCGGCATGAAGGTACTTCTCAACTCTGTTGAGACATCCAAGTGATGCCACGAAGAGCGGGATCGCCTGGAACAACCACACCAACGGCTGCGTCATCAGCTGTAGCAAACCGAGCGACGTGAAAGCCTTAACGGTATCCAGCTGCTCGCCAGCACTCTGTGCCTGTAGTACAAAGACCAGGAACGTGAAGACAGGAGACAAGAGCAGCGGCAGAAAAGCGATCGTGGCAGTAAGCACCTCGATGTGGCGGAAGTGTCTAGCAGCGTGGAGCTCTGCCTTCCTCAACTTCTGGAGCAGATCATGCACACTTTCCGAAAGTCCAAGGAGCTTGATGCTCTTCATGCCCGCGACAGCCCTTGCGGTCATGGCGACGCGTTCTTGCGTCGCTTCCATCCACGAGACCTGGGCTTTATCCGCGAACGCACTCATCAGCATTGAGCCGAGGCTTGACACAGTCGCAACGACTGCCGGAGCCACACAGGCTATCCCAAGCTCCCGATACAGCAGCCAAACAGAGATGGCAACCTGTACGGTGTTGGCCCATATCTCGTGGACATCTTTGAAGCCTGCAATGATACGTTCCATATCAGTACTGATCAAAGGAACAGCCGCGGTCGTGTCGCAACGAGCAGGATCGATGCCGAGCGTCTTCTCATATACAGCCGCCAGAATGCACCCGCGCAACTTGACGAGCGACTTGTATGTCAGACGCCAGTAGATGCATCCTGAGATGGCTATGCCGAGGTAGACAAGCCCGTAAGTAATGATGAAGGCGTAGCCGGTATTGCCAACGAAGGTTGCTTCGCCAGCGAGATACCGAAGAAACTCGCGCAGCAGTAGGGGTTGGCAGAGAGTGAATGCGACTTGAGCGAGTCGCGGCATGACTGGCGCCATGATTGACCATCTAAGGGCTCCAAGAAGCACAAGAGAAAGTCTGGGGAGTGGCTTGTTTTGCTTGTTCCATATTGCATCAAAGGCGCGGGACAGGTGTGCTGTGCCTAATCCCTCGCTCAGAGGATCAAGATCGGTGGGTGCCAGGAGTGTCTTCCGGCCCTTCACCAAGATACCTCGAAGCCATATCAGAAGGCTACGACTGAATACGCCCGCCGTTTCTTCGGGAGTTTTGTGTCGCCATTCTGGGAGCAGAAGACTTCGCTTCTCGATCACTTCCAACACCAGCAGACCGCTTTTGAGTATCAAAGCAGCGGTGAACTCGGCCGGTATGAGAATAACACTGCTCGACTCGTCGTGTGCCTTGAGCCACAGTGTACGGGTCTGCACGGCATCAAAGCTCAGCGAGACGAGCAGGTAGACGTTGAGTAGTGTTGATGGGCGTGGCGAGTATGAATGTTCGAGCCAGGACAATGTCCCAAGCGCAAAGACATCCACCAATTTTAGGATGGCCGCCGCGATGCTGGCTCTTGTTCCGTAGAGTCCTGGATGAGTGTTGATCCATGAAGCGAGAAGAGCGACCTCGATCGCGCCATAGCAGGCGACCGCGCTGAGCTTCGCCCAGCGGAGCCCTGTGCCCACGGCGACTCTTTGGCTCTTCTTCTGTCTCGGAAACAGGACCAAAAGGCGGATGGCGGCCAAAAACAGAAACAGGCCTGACGGCACAGCGGAAAAAACGGTTTGCTCGAAGAGTAACGAGAAGTCGAAGTCTCCTCTGCAGCCATGGACAGGGCCGAACTCCGAATCGGCGCAGGCGGATGAGTTGGCCATGTTGCGCCCCGACTTCGACGTCTGTCTGGGTGGCTGGTTTTCCGCGGATTTCGGTGGATTGAGGGTGTGAAGTGGAAAGAAGGGAGAGGCTTCAATTCTGTCCAACAGCCAACAAGATGAATTGACCAACAACCCATGTCTCTCCCGCGGATAAACGGGAGAGCATCCCAACCCCTGCATCTCGGGCGGAAGAGCGCATGCATAAGCTGAGGTGGGATCCACCCGGTCAACGTTTAAGGCAGGAGGATAGACATGCTCATCAGCACAGTAAGATGATTTACTTGGCATACACTGGCTACGTATCCATACTGCATGGCCAACACAGCGCTCGCATAATATTTCAGTGCCACAACGAGAACTGGGGCGTATGTGTATTATTGCGAATACATCCTCTGTCCACAATGAGCTTCATTCATCTGGTTGTTGTTGATCCCGCAAGATGACCAGGACGACCTGCCTCCCCGCCGGTTTTCTTTTGCTTTCGCCTGATCTCACTCTTCTTACATGCCCTCGGCTCTATGAGACTGCATCAGCCATACTGAGCACGAGAAGGTTTTCAGATTCTTAACGATGCTTGGCAACATGCATAAGCACCTACAGAAGCACTGGCTTCGATGTGTACTGATCGTCACCATCCTTCCTCTGGCGATGTTCATAGCCAACGTGGTAGTTGAAATCACGCATTATCCAGCACGTCAGGTCATACAAAAAACTCAATCAACTGAATATGAGACACCAATTGCCCAGCAAGATTCCCAGGTCAACAAATCTCCAGCAGCAGCAACCAGAAAGGCTGAACTTGAGCACTTGTGGGGTTTCGACGTTCGTATAACCCGTTCCATAGACAGTTCTGTTGGGTGGTTCACCACCCCAGACGCACCACACTTCCACCTCACATCATCTGACACTTCAATCTGCATAGTGGTCCTACTCTGGCATTTCAACATTCGCACACCTCAAGCACGTCAAGTGTCTGACTGAGCCCGATGTTGCGTTTGACATCGGCATCATCGGCGCGCCGTTCGACACCGCTGTCTCCTATCGCACGGGTGCGCGGTTTGGGCCTCGAGCTATCCGCGTCGCTTCCGCGAGGCAGTCTCGTGCTAGAGGCTGGAACGCGAGGGCTGGTATCAATCCATACAAGTCCGGCTTGAAGATCATTGACTGCGGAGATATCCCGCTCGTTCCAATCGACAACGGAGTGGCGCTGCGCCAAATGACGGAAGCCATGACAGAGCTAGGCTCAAGACCGTCCAAGCCACGACTCTTGACGTTGGGCGGAGATCATAGTGTGGCTTTGGGTGCCCTGCGTGCTCTGCGCCAGGTTTATGGACAACCCATCACCGTGGTGCATTTCGATGCCCACCTGGACACATGGATCCCCCCGAATAGTGCGAGCGATTTCCCCTGGTTCTCAGAGCAGGGTCGTTTCAATCATGGAGACGTCTTTTCTCTGGCTTGGGAGGAGGGTCTCATTGCCAACGCCAGCTCGGCTCATGTTGGGCTGCGAACGAGGCTGTCAGGCCCTCAAGATGTTGTTGATGATGATGCTCAAGGGTTTATGCGGATTAGTTCAGATGAGGTTGATGTCATCGGTACCGATGGAATCACCAAACGGGTCAAGGAGCGCGTTGGCACCGGCCCAGTCTATCTTAGCTTCGACATCGATGTCGTGGATCCAGGACTAGCGCCTGGCACGGGAACGCCTGAAGTGGGAGGTTTCACTAGCAGGGAAGTCATTCGCTTGTTGCGGGGGCTAGAAGGCATTGACATCGTGGGTGCCGATATCGTTGAGGTCAGCCCGCAGTACGATGGACAGGGTGAACAGACAGCGCTGGTAGCTGCACAAGTGGCCTATGAGATTTTGACGAACTGGGCACTGGCCTCGAAAGGAGATACACCATGAGTTTGGTGCCAAGCCATGGAAGACTCTACTCAGAATTCAAGAGGAATGAATCCGCTGGTGCAGGACCCAGTGTTGGGACATCCCTTTGAGCTACTTTTTCTAAAGGTTCATCGTTGCGGTTATTGTGAAGTCCAGAAAGCTAGACCCAATACAGACTTAAATCTTTACCTATTTATTCATGTATTTAGCAATCCTGCTACTGCACGAAGTACATGCCAAAGTGCTTGTACTGTGTACCTTCTCGCAGGGTGGGCTTCGAAAGCTTATCAACATACTATTTGAAAATAAAGTCGAAAGTGGTTGCGCTAGAAGAAGCCGAAGATCCGTCGAACGGCATGATAGCTTACTGAATTAAACCCCTAAACTAGCCCGTGTCATTCGGCGAAGAGTCTACTGTACTCACTGACTTCTATAAGACGAGGCCGAGCATGACAGCAGAGAAGCAGATCATCGCAACAAAGATTAGCAACGTGAGGAACCAATTTCTTTACAGCTTTGGAGCCAACGTTCGAGCTGGAAAGCCGGTATGGTAAGGTTCCCATCACGACAGCTTATCGGTGGTTTGGGTTGTGTTTGGTGACTATACACAGGAACAGAATGAGTGGTGACGCGAGGAGACCGGCCGCCTATTGTGATGATAGTCAGCGAAATAGCATAAAGGGTGATGGAGTACATGCTAAGAATTCGGGCTCCGAGAAAATCCCAGAAATGCGCATAAAGCGATATCAACAATTGGTGTCTACTTTCCAGACAGAAGAGATTAAAATCCGTGATAAGTAGGACGGCTGAGTTTTCTGATACTTGTACCAGATCAAACCAATATAGTTTATTGTGCTTGATCTATTGTCAATTTTGAACGCGTGAACATCCATTCGCAAAGCGCACATAATTGGCATCTGATGATTCTGAGGGTGTGATCAGTTTCTGCAGCTGATAACAAAGGATATCATCTCCGATATTCCAGCTTTCCTGGCCTTTAAGATGCCGACTACTCACAGTCATTGGGGAAATGATGTTAACGTAAGACGAGACCCAGAAGAATACTAAGGAACGAACGAAATATTGAAGAGGAAGAAGGAAAGTGGAGGAGCCAGATCTAGCGACTTGGAAACAAGAATGTGGGGCTCACGCAACATAGTTGCCACTTTGAGAAAATTGTTCAATCGGCGTTGTGGCAGAGTGGTCTAATGCGCAAGACTAGAAATCTTGTTCCTTCGGGAGCGTCTGTTCGAATCAGGCCAACGTCGAATTTCTTTTGCCATTTTTGCCCTCCCTAAGAGAGTCGTCTTGTTTATGTTTCCTATGCCGCACTTCAATTAGCTGTTTCTTTCGAGTATTGGATTGAAATGCAAGGTGTTTGTGCTTCCTTTGTACTATTGTAGACTTCTTCTATTTCAATACCAGACCACTTGATATAAAACCACTGGAACCTAACCTCTTCTCTGGTCTATCTCATGTACATGTATTGATCGATCGATGACGCTACCTTGAAGGGGTGCCCGGCGCTGTCTTCCCCGTCGACGCGCCCTGCCAACTCTTCCCTAGTAACCCCTTCCCTGCGTTCTTCTTCTCCTGCTCTTCCATCTTCAAGACCAACTCCCCAAACCCACCATTAGCCCATCCAAACCACGCTCTCGTCCAGTCGTTCTCGTTCCAGCTGTTCACGCTCTCATGCAACACCCCCGTTCCCGCGGTCGAGTCCAGAATCATCGACACCTGCTCCTCAACCTCCTTCTCGACGTCCTTCACCCCGGATATCGGATCATACGCCGTCATCGCCGCGATCACCGCCGCCATCGGCCACGCTTTCCCTGGTCCCACGTGCGGTCCTCCGACGGCTGAGATGACCGGGCCCCGCATGAAGTACGAGTTGGCGTCGCTGAGGACGTACTTGCGCGTGTTACGGTAGATCTCGGTGTAGTCCCGCTTCTTCTCCCCCTTCGAAGGGCCGGGAACCTTGTAGCTGGACTTGGTGAAGTTCCACAGCGGCATAGCCAGCAGCGACGGCACGTTCGCGTCGTCCATCAGGTTCGCGCCCCCGAAGCCGTCGACCTCGTACGCGAAGATATCGCCGAACCCAGGCCGGTGCACGATCGCATCCTTCTCGATGCCCTCCCGGATCCCGTACGCCTGGTCGCGCATCGCGGCCGTCAGGTTCTTCGCCCGCTCGCCGGGCAGCTTGGCCATGATCTCGGACGCGTCCTCGAGGTACTTGGCCCACATCATGTTGGCGGGCACCAGGAACTGGAAGATGCACGCGTCGTCGGACGGCCGGAAGGCGGTGCGCACCATGCCGTTCTCCTTGATCGGGTTGCCGAGGCCGTCGTTGGTCAGCGTCTCGCTGCCGCGGTTCGTCCACCCCGTGAACGTCCACGCCGACTTCTCGACCTTGCCCTCCTTGGAGTAGGTCCCCAGCCGCATCGCCCCGGCGGCGGTAACCGCGGCCTCGACGGCGTCCATCCACACGTACTTGCCGAAGAATTCCCAGTCGCCCGTCTTCTGCGCGTAGGCCGAGGACAGCTGCAGGAAGCTCGCGAGCGAGTCGAGCTCCCACTTGCAGTCAAAGACCTTCTGCGGGTCGTAGGCGGGCATGGGGTGGTTGTGGACGTACGCGCCGTTGTGCGTGGGCGGGATGCCGCTCTCGGGCGGCGGCTGGAAGGCGTGGCAGTACGGCGAGATGACGATGTACCGCGAATGCGCGTTGATCAGCCCGCGCCAGAGACTGGCGAGCGAGTCCTTGTCCGAGGAAGCCTCCAGCAGCGGCAGGTAAGAGTACACCTGCGACGCCGAGTCGCGCAGCCACAGCGCGTCGATGTCGCCGGTGATGACATACGTGAGCTCCATGTCAGTAACCTTGGTCTCGCCCGTCTTCTCGTCCGTCTCGTTCGCGAAGCCGCGCCACTTGACCATGCTGTCCAGCGTCATCGGGTACGCGTTCTCAAACAGGCGGTACAGGTCCGGGTCCTTGATGACACCCTTCATGCGCGTGATGAGCGCCTCCATCGCCGGGGACGTGAAGGTGCGGCACTCCGGCCGGGGCCGGTTGAGCGGGAACTGGCGCTTGCCCTCGGACAACGGCCCAGGCCGGGTGCGCATCCAGCTCTCATACGACGGGCACGGCTCCGTGGAAACCGGGGGCGGGACGGCCGGAGCGACTGGCGGCGTTCTGCCGGAGGACGGCGTGGGTGCGTTCGCCGCTGCAGATGCATCTGCGGGCTTGCGGCCGGCGTCGGGGGGTTGCTTGGCTAACTCGCCGTCCTTGTTGCGGTACGAGTCCTCGCCCTCCGCGTCTTCTTTGAGCTTGTTGCCGGCTGCGTCTGGCTCGCCGTGTGCTGCTGCTGGGAGGTTGCCATCCTTGTTCTGGCTTGCTTGTTGGTTCTGCGCCGCACTTCCTGGGGCGGCCTGTTGTCCTGTGTATGCTGCAGGCAGGTAATCGCTGCCGAGGCCCGAATTATGGACCAGGAACAGAAAGACGATGGCGACGAAGGTGATGACCAGCACCCGCGCACGCCGGGTCTGTATGTTGCTGCTGAGGAATGCTGGCATCGTGGTTAAGTTTGCTAGGGGGTTATTGAATTCCCCCTTGACTGAGCCCTAAATCCAAACGCTTCTCCTCCTGGTCTTACAAGCCACTCTCGTCGTTGCTGGTCCAATCTGTGAGGTTCTCGTCGCGAAATAAGCAACAAAAAGACCAGCTTACCGACCAAAGAGAGTCTTTGGACGCTTATTCACTCGACAGAACAAGTCATCCTCCCAACGTTTCGAAAGCAACCGAAAACCTTCAGGCGACGGTGTCGAGTCTGAAAACGAAATGCAAGGGTCACCCTTATCCGGTCATCCCACTATATTTGGGCATTTAGCTGGCTCCATCCCGCTGTCTCGGTCGCTTCTTGGCAAATTTGAGTTCCCTCGCTTTTGGTGCCGCTACCCTTGCTAGCCGGCACTTTAACGAGTTTTGGGGCGCATAGCTCGTCGATAAAAGGGGGGAGATAATCCAGGGACGTCGGAGCTTCTGGCGGGGAAGGACGACTCGGAAGAGAGAGCGAGACTGAAAGGCTGCTTAGCGGCCGTAGCTGGTAGCCGGTAGGTTTTCTCTGCAGTGCCGTTGATTGCCGTTCATCCCAAATACGAATCCAATCACGGACGTGTGCCTCCGAATGGGCTGGATGCGCGACCACGCGACCCCCCAGATTGAATTGCATGCTAACTATTAAAAGGCAAGGTGGTGGTGTGCCGTGGCTGAACCACCAAGCAATTAGGAGTGGCCAAAAAGATGGATTCGACGTTGGCCTGATTCGAACAGACGCTCCCGAAGGAACAAGATTTCTAGTCTTGCGCATTAGACCACTCTGCCACAACGCCAGTTGATCGTGAACCCGCTTCTATGCGGGGATGGGGAAGATTGCGCCCCTGGAACATCAAGATGCGACAGCGGGGGAACCACCTGTGGTTTGTAGTGCTGAATCAAGCGACCAAAATACGACGTCTTCTTACGACGTTGCGTGAATGGTGGAATTATTTTTAATCAACATCGCTCAGAGTGGGACAGCAACTAAGGTAGACACATAGACCCATATGCTTTCATCTGAAACCTCGAAAACTCAATTGTCTCATACAACCTCAAAACAGCATCATCTGAGCTCATCATGCTGTTACAAGCCCTCCGTCGTCTCAGTACTTGAACAATCTGGGCAGAGTACCGTCCCTCTCCGCCTCTCTCGTCAGCTTCCTGTTCGCCAGTCCGTAGTACACCCGCAGCGCCGCACACCCGACGACAACGACAAACAGCAGCGCCGCGTTGGACCAGTGCCCGGTCGGGTACCCGATCGCCTTCTCCTCCGCCTTGTACACCCACACGCCGGGGATCTGCCCGAGCCCGGCCCCGAAGCTGACGTTCAGCGCGATCGCGAGCCCCGTCGACGCCGTGCTGAAGATGTTGGACGTGAGCCAGCCCAGGAGCGGCGGGATGCATGCGAAGGCCCCCGAGGCGCCGACGATGA